AACTTTATCATCACCATACAATGCAAAAATCAAATCCTTTGATTTCTTGATTTGTTTCTTCAAGGCTGTCTTCACCTGTGGCAGGAGGTTCCATGCACAGTAACTAACTGCAGCATCAGCATTTTATATCTTGCCAAAAGAGAGCCTATCCTTCTCAATATCCAAAGGAAGAAAACAGTTCATTTTACTTTCATTGTCTTGCACTTGGTGGTGGAAATATGAGTGAGAGAAGGACTTCACAGTCATTTTTCACAAAATTTTTTCCCAGACACTGCTAAACTGTTACAGTGCATATAACAATGATGCTGATTTGTTGAATTCCAAATCTGTGCCACAGTCTTCTGTGTCTGCTGTTATGTTATTGCAACATTTTCTTCAGACAAAAGGCTTTAACCCTTTGACGTGGTCATTTAAATTCCGCGGCCGCGGCTCCTGCGGTAATATATTCAGCCGGCCATTTAAATTTTGCTCGAAAATTATTTATTCATCATTGTTCTTAAATTCTATGAGATAGGAACATGAAACTTTCACTAAAATGATCTTAAAAGGTGGTTTTATAACCTTACCTTATAATATGAACCCCCTTTATATCTTCAATGGAAGCATGTTATTTAGTATTTGAGCAGAGAATGGTACGCCTTGAAGGATGAAACTTTCACTAAAATGATCTTAAAAGTTGGTTTTATAACCTTGCCTTATAATATGAGCACCCGGTATCTCGGCTATGTAAGCAGGTGACGCCTTGAAGCATTAGTCTAAACACAGCGCTGGGTCACATTCACCAAACCGATACTGCGTATCTTTACTTTTGCTTTTTTTTTCTAACCACACTTCTGTGCGCCCTGCCATCTTCCCCGTGGGGGGAATACAAGTGGAAATGTCCCTCCGTGAGTCGTATATTTTGACAGATTAGCTGCAGTAAATTCAACCTTTGTGTTATAATAAGAAGGGTTTGGTGCTTCTGCGTTTCAGATTCCAACCTTTTCGGCTCCCCAGATGTCGTAGGGGTGACCACAGAATTCATGAATTTATTATAAGAACTGGCGTGTATATAGAGAACGAAAGCAGAGATTAGCTGGCTCAAAAAAAATAGTTATGGTCATCCCTCGAAACGACCACCAAGGTCAGTACGATAAAATGGCGTCAACTGGAGCCAGGAATGAAGGAATGAGTACTTTTCCCTCCCCCACACACATCCGTATCGTCTCAGGGGGTGACCACAGTGTTCTGCCTTAAATTGTGGCGTATTTCTAAGAAATGGGTGCTATGTACTGTGCGAAAGCAATCGATTTTACGAGAATAAAATTTTGGACAACCCTCTTCTAAGAATTCCAATTGAATGTGCTACTGTGGCCAGCTCAGGGTAATATGATATTATCAACATCGTAAATATCACGTCTCTGGTGTTTATTACTTCACAAGCAAAGCAAATACGCCATTGAGTGACGAAACCGCTACAAGAAGCAACACGAATTTGCTGCAAGACAGGCATATGTAACGATGACTTATCTCAGCTAAACTCGTTGGCTTAGTATACTCTGTTCTTGTGACAACAGGCCAGCGAAAAATCTAACAATCTACAGCAAAACCATCAATTATTATGGGCGTTCTAACATAGGTGTGCAGCTGGACGAAACATACACGCCGAACCCCCCCAGAGGATTTAAATCCCTGACGAAACATACACGACGAACCACGGCAACGGGTTAATATATTGTATTACCTCCCAATTTTGTGGATAAAATCTGGATGCCCAAAATTTCACCAGTTTTGCTCCATGATGATATGTAGCAACACCAAAAAATGACAGAATCTTACAACTTTCTTTCTTCATCTTGTGGTTCACAGTTGTAAGCCATTCTCCAAATACTGTTGCTGTCATCCATGCCGTTTCATTGGAGTACCAAGTAACAGGGAGATGTTCAAAGTGTCCACATGTTCTTCTTTGAATTCATGAGATTGTGCAGAAAGACCAATCACTGAAGGTTTTAACTTTTCTCCACTAGCACCTGGGCATGAAAGTATACTTATCTCTGGCAAAGTTTCCTGCCTTTACACTTGTCTCCTTTCTGAACCAAACTCTTTTCAGGGATGTCAATCTAACCATTTCATCAGCAATGAATATTAGCAAAACATACTTCAAAATTCTGACTTCTGCAAATCCATTCTTCCACCACTTCCAAGTCTGCTGGTGCTACTTTGCCAGAAAGAAATCAGAAACTTTACTCTAGTGCCCTTAAATGTCCCAAATACTAATAATACACTTCCCAACATGTAGATTTGTAACCAGTTTACAATTTTATCCCAAATTCCTTTCAAATATTTGTTTTTATAGTTCTTTCATATGTACATTTTAATTTATTAGTTGCAGAAAACTATAATAAACTGAAAATTATGCACTCTGGTGGGCACATCTCCCCGGTCTTTATTTGAATGAAAACTTCAAAACAAAAAATATGCAAAACACAATCACATCAATAGTCCCAAAGCTTTCTTCCATTATACATTAACCAATCAGTATTAGCTGTTTCATTAACTTAAGACACACAGGAAAATTACCTACAAATATCATGCCCTGCCATAATGTAACGGATAATGTTTTGTCAAACAGGAATCTGTGAACTTCGTATTTCTTCATCAAGACAAAATATTAATGTATAATGACATAACCATCATCACTATTAATGAACAGCAAAACCAATGGAAGATACACAGCAAACAAGCAGGCCGGATCCCAATTAAGACACCTCCTATTTACACCAAGTAATGAAGCTATTTGGCAATTCTGGTGCTACATGATGCTGAAACAGTACAAAGTTATTATGTGTGGGACTTTGCTTTCTATACAGATTTTCTGAACATACCTGGCAAGGATTTTGATCTGGTAAGCTACAAAAAATGAAAACTGTTCGTTTGTAACCTGTCCAAGTTTCATTATATTACACATTTAAGGTCACAGTGCAAGGACAAGTTTAGGCCTACCCTTTATGTATTCATTCCTTAATGACATTATGATTCTTACACTACTTCTATATTTCACAAAGATGCTTGTGCATATCTGACTTAAAAAACTAGTATGCCACTATGCACCTCTCATTTCATAAGGTCAAATCTAGAGTGACAACAGTACAGTCAACACAAAACCTTCATTTCCAGAAAGAACAAACTCAACACGAGTGACACAGTCATACACTAGGTAAGAAAGACAGACTGCAGCCTGCAAGCAGAAAATCCGCAAAAGAAATTAACAAAGATTCTAAGGAAAACATTCAAAACTACCCAAAATAATTTCAACTTATAATTCCCATTAAAAACCGTGAGAGATTATCTACCATTCTGTAAAATGACCTTCATAAAAACAGGATTACAACACATTCACCTAGACCTCAACAATATACATACACACATATACACCTGATTTTAACAAATTATTTTTTATGACATTAGCAGCATTCTTTTACTGTTTCTGTATACAGTACAACATGGATCAGCATTGAAAAATTTAAATAAACATAGTAACCTTGACAAAAATGTACTCCACTTGTAGTTCAAAAAGTCTTCTAACCACTTCTTGCATATATCACTTGAAGATAGTCTTATTAGGCCATGTTGTAAAGCTGACTTCTGCTTAGTAAAATGAAGGTTTCAGGTTGAAAGTATACTATGATCATTGCACTCTCACTCCAGAATCTTAATAAATAAAATAATAATAATAATAATAATAATAGATGTCTTAAATATGTCTTTGATATTCCTCAAGGACTCAAACCGACTAAGAACCAATGAGGACTGCTCAAAATACACTGTCACAAGTATCAATTTCAAGAAGATACAGAGCTCAAAACAAGTGACTATTATGACCTTCATGTCTGACACGTATCTGAGGTCTCACAGTAGTGACTACGACAAGTATGGTCCCCTGGGTTGCACCACTGGGTAGTTCAGAGACAGCCCAATATATCAAAGGAACATAAGCACCTCTATCTTCTGGTTCCAAGAATAAACCAACCAGCAAACCAGCCTGAACTATGCTGGTTCTTGCATGGATTTTTCTTCAAGCCTGATGATGGAAATGATATATTCTTCTTAAAAGTTATATATTTTTCAAAATATGCATCCAAAAGTACACCTTAAGAATGACGCTACTTTATTTACTTAAGAATCAGTAACAATGCAAAAAATATACTGCGTGTTCCTGAAGAGCTGTCAGCCAGCTACTCCAAGAAATTCCCTGCCTTTCATGGAACCTGAAAGTTCACTTACATGTTCACGAAAACATGTCGTCACTGTGGCCTTAACAACAAGAAAATTGCAAAAAGCAAGAAAGAGCAACTTAAATTACTCTGTTCTTATTCAGTCACCGAGTCAAAACACATCATTTTAAAAACTATGTCACATCCACTACAAAACCTATAGCAAATAAAGCAAACCATGATGTACACTTTGTTTCTTGCTATATTCTGTAACACGCACAATAAAAAAACTACACCCCATGAAGTACACCTATTAATTACCTCTGTGCAAGTTACCCAGTACTACTAAGTACTCAGTTTCATAAGAGTCTAAATACAGCTGATTTACATCCTTAAAGAAGATAAAATATTATAGTCATTTCGAGAAACATCAGCACTGACAACGGACTTTACATACAACTGTTATTAATCGAGTTGTCTGCATACGTATATGCTTCCAAATACCTAAGATTAGGTAACTTTACCAGCTCTAACCTAACCTACCCTCATCTTAAAATTTCATGTTTTAAGTTGACGTGTAATCTCATTAGGTGGATACCAGTGCTTCAAGAAAACCTGACAGCCTCCTCCTCCTCCTTCAGAGTACACCAACTTAAACAGTACCTTAACCCAGAAAATCACAATGTAACTTGTACTTCAATTATGTTATTTGTTGCACCACACAATACCATACAATTATGATTACCTATTACAATGTACTGTACAACCCAAGTTATTCTGTTAACCTACTGGTTAAGAAAAACTTACTTGTGTGTTTGTCTGACCATCAGGTGGGTCCACTACTACACCTTGGCCTCTTGTGGCTATGGTCATGACTAACTACGATACGTTACGTCAATAAAGCCACATCAATAACATTAAATCTAAGGGATCTGGAGTGTGGTACGCCGTAAACTTCATACAGGATTCTTGTTATACACTAGCTACATTATCTGAAATAAAAGAAAGGTATCTAGTTAGTTTTACTTCCTGCAGACCTCAACTTTGTTAAGACGGGCATAACCAATAACTGTTTCCTATGTGAATGTTGCACATGACACCAGAATTCTTGTTCTAAGATACGAATGCCTTATTTATCCTGTACTACATGACTATTTACTATTAAAATCTTGAACGGACACTCCTGTCTTCCAGAAACGAAATGTCCCCTTACAAACTTCAAACCTCAATGTAATATTTTTTCACACAGCAACGAACATCACAAACAAATACCGACATACTAATATCACTAGATATATACTAAATCGATCACACACGGTAAACGGAAAAATGGTATTAAATTGAGAAAAACAGTCTCATTCATCAGCCGGGCTACATACAAAATGGCGACCATCCCTATGATTAGTTCAACGAATTGAGAGATCGAATATTATACTTGTATAGAGTGTCTTGCCAAATTTTGTATTTTATATGGAAACATTAATGATTTTTACTACTTTTAAATTACAATTCGACAATAAATCTTACATAATAAGTGTAGTAGGAACGAAACCTCTTTGACGTAAGCTCTACATACACTGTATAAACACGACTGCGCGACTCACCGGTGGCACGGGCGTAAGAATATTACACATATGCAGTCTTTACTGATTCTAAGTACCAAGTTTTAAAAATATGGTTCTTGAATAAAGTTTATAATGTTTAATTTCACACGTCTCTTGCGAAATATAATGCACACTATTTAAAAATAATAAATGTAGACACAGTGTACTATTTTTCTCAAAATATCAGCTGGGATATGTACATATTTACCTCGTGGAGCAAGTCAAAAAATTCCCGATCGTGGTTTTAAGTGATAGTTTTAAGTACACAAAATACCATTATTAATACCTATATTATACTTTATAAAGTGGATCTCGCCGCAGTACACGCTGTACTGGCAGTTCAACATCACAGTTGTCAATAATCGTACTATAATATATGAAGTTCAGCAGATCACGCAACTTACCAGGAAGGGTTGTCAAAGAAAAGTCCCAGTGTTGCATGAGTGTAATCATTACTCTGCTTCGTGTATACGGAAATGTATTTGACACTGTGACATTGTCACGGTGTCTTGGGGTTGCTAATTTTTTGTTATTTATAACATAGTCATTTGGAATCAAAAATGATATAAAGAAGGGAGAGGCACGAAGTGAATTACCTTCCTTACCCCACCCTGCGTTCTACGTTGCCTGAAGGTCAGGGGCAAGGCTGTATGATAGCACCTTAAAATTCATAAAATCAATATTAACCGAACTTTATAAAAACATGCAGTGAAAGTCTATGAATATTTACTTGAAACTTTAATTTCCAGCATTTTTATACAGATCTGGTAAATTATTAGAAAATTATGATTTACAAGAATAACATTCCCAATTTTGTATGTTAATTTTACATAATGTTTCAGAGTTGCTGAATTGTATAACTAATGCCAGTTAATTAGCCTACAACCATGCCACCATTTGTACCTGTCCAGTCTCTCTACTCATCATGTCTGACTACAGTATTTGAGAATCTTTTGGAGAGTGTCAAGAAAACATCTAACACTGTTGAGCACCTCCGGAAAGTGATCCAGTCATCCCTGCATGCAGGGATTCGTGAGCATTTGATTCATATCACAACTGCACATTGTAGGTTGGTATGGTATGAGTTCCTGTAAAGAATGTTATTTATTGAGTTATCTTCTGCATTTTCCTGGAAGAACAGAAAAAGCATGATAAATCTCAATCTGGATAGCTGGTGTCCCAGCGAAGATTTGAACTGGTCATCTCCCAGTACAAGTCAAGGGAATTACCATTTGAGTCAACTTGCTTAGTGCAGTTGTCTCAAAGTTAGGAGCTGATGGGTGCCAGACTCAACTGAACACTTGAATTTCTTGGCCATGCATTACTTATCAACTTCATGGTAAACAAACACTATGCCAAATTTGTAACTTGGGAAAAATTAAGGAGCAGGACAGTATGGACATCTCTAGGCACAGTTTGCATATTGGAGTCACTGAAAGTGGCACTAAGAAAAGGTGACTTCAGGGAAACTTTAAAGAACACAATATGTGTTCGACACAACCTCTGGGCATACAGAGCGCACACAAAGCAAGACATGTAGTTGCTTATCTCAGAGGATCTTGAGCAAGAGTGGAAAATGATTCAAGGGAGGCTTGCACTACATGTAAACAACACAATTGTTCCTGCATGAAGTTGTCCACATTTTTCAGTGTCCTTCTGTAGACTGAAGTACAACAAATCATAAGAAAGAAGTTGAAATGACAGTAATTACACACTAATTCAGAGTCATTCTTGAGAGCCTGATATTTATTCAACCGGTCAAGAAATTCCCTGCCTTTTAAGGATCCTGAAAGTTTATTATGATCTTCATAGGAACCTACTACTGGACCTCTCCTGAGCCACATAATTCCAGTCCACATCCATTTTAATATTACCCTCTCATGTATGCCTAGATCAATGGTTTCCAAACTTTCTATAATATTGCACCCCCCACCCCAGTCTAACTTGGTGTGAGTGTATAAAGAACGACTTTTTCAGATTAAACTAACTGCATGGAGCTGAGTCCTTCTTGAGAAGCTAAGAATTTCCCAGCATTTTATGGAACCCGAATGTTCATTACTGTGTTCATAAGAGCCCTCCATTGGTCCGTAGTCCGAGCCAGACCACCCCATCCTATCTCTCTAAGATCCATTTTAATATTGTCCACCTACCTATGGCCTTTTTAGATTCCATTTTTAAAATAAGCATATTTTAGGCTTCCATCTCTGCCTTGTTTACATTGTAACACTGGGACATGCTGTGTAATATCTCCACCTGCTTTTCATCTGAAATTATGATCTTTTTGTCAGGAATAATATATACGTGCTGTTGGACCTGTTAAGCATATTGCTTGATCAAGCTGTCAAACAACTTGACCACTCTGGTGGGGATGATAATTCGTGTCTCCGTGCTGAGCAGTGCTCTGCCTTGCTGTCTACTCTGGAACAGTGTCAAGCTACAGGACTACAGGAACTCACAGTCAAGGTGATGATAGTGTTCCTTCGTAATTTTGTAACTCACAAACATGCAGAATAAAATTGTGACTAGATTTGATTAATTAGTAACATATTTATATTATCCAAGACCAGTGTGTTTATTCAATCAGAATTCCTACTTCCATACTTATCACAAGTCGAAAGTCACACATCTGCTGGTGCAGGGTATGTTTTGACCCTCATGCAAATATTGAGAATGACAGTATGGGCTGTCTAAGACATAGCATATGGATTGATGGAACTGAGACTTTAAATGAACATTAAGGCATTAAATTATTGATAAAAGTAAGTTTCATTCTTTCAAAAAGATATTTCCATTTCAACAATTCTATATTTTATGATGATGGTATATCAATACAATAATTGCAAGCTACAGTTATTCAGTGCACATGTCACAGAAATGTAAACAATGCAGGGAATATAAGCTACTGAATTTGTGCATGTTGCATGGAGCACTTTTTATACAATAGTACATACAGGTCCCATCCCCACAATACTGTAGGTCACATTATTTGCGATGGACAAACAATCTGAGCGCTTTGGTTTCTTACCATCAATGCTCCATATTTGCACCTCACTTGCCCATCTATCAGAATGATAACCTGGAACTTGGTAACTTTATCTTTGACCTGAGCAGGAAGGTAGCTCAGCCATGAGGCCACAGAAGATCCTAGCTGTGTACAAGTGTGACTCCTACAGACTGCCCTACCCCAGACATGTTTGTATGATTTTCACAAGTCTCTCAAAGCAAATACTAGAGCAGCATTTTAAATAGGCTATGAGTGCTCATTTCTATGCCCTCTCAATATAATAATTTCATCTGTTATACACAAACAGGACGTAACTTACAAATACCCCTCTAGTGTCTGCCCCTGAGAGTATCTCCCATACAACCCTTTGTTAACCAGTATTTTATATCAGGTTCGCCTGGACCCTCGTCGGGCAGGGGATATAGAAACAGTTTCATCAGCCAATGTTTCATTTCACCGTGTTCTGCGAGGTGGACTTGCAGCAAATCTGCGCTCATTGGTCCTGCGCTCTGTATGTGACAATGAAATTCTTAGACTCTTGGGCCGCCACTGTCCACATCTGCGACATCTGGATGCCACATCCTCCTGGCTTGTGGACGATAATGGGCTACGTTCGCTCTGTTTCAAGGTATGTAAAGTTCTTTCCATGGTGATGTGATTTTTAGGCAAGTTATTGGCCCTGGCTTGTTCTTGATCTTATGTATAAAACACTGTTCTGCATGAAGTTTATTACTGGCAGCCCTTACTTAGATTTAAGAATCAGAATAAATTTTTATCTGTATCATGCATATGGGGGCCAAAGGCTTTTAAATGGCCCTGGTGGGGTGCACTGATGCCAGTAAGTGCACACCATTAAGTACCAGAACTCCATTTGTTAAGTAGGGCTCTGCCAGCAAATCCTAGCCCTGCCCCCCACCTTGTGGTGAGAGCACAGATGTGACAGATGGAGCAGGGTGAAAGGTGAGCATCCAGAGCCTTCAAACGGGACTCTCTGGCTAAGGGAAGGAAAACCCCTACAGAAAAACTGAAGGGGGGGTTAGACGTGGTGAAGCTAACACCCCCTAAGGGAGTACACCCTGACAGAAAATCATTGGTCCTCCTAATTTAAGGAGTTGGGTAAAGACTGACAACCTCTCCCCAGAATACATTACTTGATCAGAAACCCAATGAAAAAAAGTGGGGGGCACAAAGGTTAAACTTAAAAGAACCATATAGCCAAAGGAGATTGGACATACACTTTTAAACTTGCGGTTTTATGATGGTGAAAATATAGGGGGTGATTTTGTGGGCTGTGACACTGCGCAGTGTCATAAGTCAGAAGAATATGTCTCGCTGAGTAGCAGACTGTTAGAACGCTTTGTAGACAGCATAAAAAGTGTACTTCTTGCAGTTATCCTTCCATACTTTAGCAGAATATTTTTCATAAATTAACCTGCAAATGTCATTATGGCTTAGTGCCAATATCTGCATCAAGTGGCATGCAAGATGGCTGAACACCTGGAAATGTATCTGCAAGTGAATTTATAAAATGTGTTGTGATAAAAGTGTAGATACACTGTTGCCAAGAACTAAGCTCTGTAATACACACCATAGAAATGAATTAAATTAAAATCAGTATAGCAACTTTAGCATGGGGACAGCTTTTGCTTTGACTTATTTCATCCTGGTCCATCACACTAGTTATAGTACAAAAGATTATTAATGCCGTTTAGTGTGATTGATAATTTGTTTTATCTTTCATCCTTTACACGTTTCAGTCAGAGCTACCATCTTCAGAAAGACATATCAGTGCATACAGATACGACCAGTATAATGTCATGAATATAAAATATTAGCCTTTAATAATTAGTGATGTGCGTGAATTTATTAAAATATTTATAAATTCTTATAATTAGTCTATTTACAAGTATAGTTTAAAAAACTTTGTTAAAATCTAGAACCAATTTGGTTGGTGTCCTTTATACTGCAAGTGGACTACACTAAAGAGTCCTGTTCTTCAAACAATGGAATCACAAGATGGTAGACACCCATCTTCCTCTAAAGAGAACCAGTATAAAGGACATGAACCAAATTGGTTCTAGATTTTAACAAAGTTTTTTAAACCATACTGGTAAATAGACTATTATAATAATTTATAAATATTTTAATAAATTCAGGCTTAAAGGCTAATATTTTATATCTGTGACATTGTAAAAGCAGTGTCTGTATGTATTGATAATGATCAATGACATTGTAATAGTAGTTTCCGCATGTATTCGCATGTCCCTTTGAAGTTGGTCATTCTGATTGAAACAAGTAAAGAATGAAAGATCAAAAAAAATATATATATATATATATCAATATCAATCACACTGGATGGTGTTAATAATCTTTTATACAGATTTTCTTGTTATAATAAAAATCGTAAGTCCTATTGCATTATGCAACATACCATTTTCAAGGGCATCTACATCAAGTCTAAGGCACTCCAAATGAACTGTTAAATTTAGTTTCACTCAGTGCCTTGTAGGATAATGGCCAGATGAAAGATCATGTAAATGTTTGTCACAGAATCAAATGTGAAACTATCTCAATAAGGGTATTATAGGCTGCAGTGTTCATCATCAAAGAATTAAATGCTCTAATGGGAGATTAAACTGTACATTTTGCACATCCTTGCGCAAACACACTGCTTCCATTTTCACCTGAATAATTTCTAACAAGTCAGTTCAGATGTGATGTTGCATCATCCAGCTGCACTGCTAATGCTTTCGAATTTCTTCTCAGGAGCAAGAGTCACATACTTTGCCTCCTGATGGCTACTGTGGTGACACTTGTGGGTGGTTTTCAGCCATTCAGCCGTCTGATCTGAACATATGCTGTCGAAGTCTTCAGGAGGTTCGCATCCAGGATACCAACACATCAGAACTTGGGGTTATCATGCTCCTTCTCTTCATTCCGAACCTTAAGTCCTTGGGAGGGTTCATATACTACAGGTACAGCCATAATATGTGATTGATCCAACAAGGAGGTCCACCAAAATCTGGTATCTTCCCTTGGAACCCATCCTTACTTTGCACAGCATGACCACTGTTATAATGAATGAGTTCCTTTGTAAAGTTCTAAGCAAGTAGACAAAATGCTTGAAGCCAGGATGGCTCCATGACTACTGAATGTTGTGCTGTAGTAGGGTTGCAATGAAGCTTGTAGCCCCACAGGTTAATATAAACCTGCTTTGATACTGTGCTGATCAGTACTCAACATAATTTTGTGCTGTAGTGGACTGAACCAAATTATTCTCACATAAGGTTAAAAGAAAGATAAAGTTGTCCCTGTGCTTAACTAATTAAGGACTGTGCCATGAAAGTGTATGGGGAAGGGGACATACAGATCCACATTTTCTTGCCCTCAGCACTAGCTGGAGGTGAGTAAATTATTCTCACATAGAATTCTGAAATCATTGCAGGATGGATGAAGACGATTTTAACAGTAGAGCAGTTTCCTAATCTGACATCAGTAAACAATTTTGAACCTAATTCTTTCTTTTGAACCATCCCTGTGCTATGATTAAGGAATGCTATAATGAAAAGTAAGCAGCATTATTTTATTTTATGGTTGTAGGAATGTAGGTGATGCCATCATGAATCTGTCACAACACTATGATGGCAAGCTGAAGCTTAACCTGACAGACTTGTGGGACACTTGTCTGTCACCAGAGAAGGCCAGCATCCTGTCAGCTGCAGCTCCTCAGCTGGCCAGTCTGTACACTCGTGGAAGCTGGTTACACAGTGTCGGATCATTCTCCCATCTCGTTGCACTGACTGTCGATTTTGACTTCGTAGACTTTTCTCCAGCACTGGAAAGTTATCTGATAGAGCATGGGCAGAAACTGCAGAAGCTTGTCTTGGTTGATCAGGTGGGAAATCCACTGTGGATGCTTCTTCATGTCACTGTAATAATTAAGCGTCACAGGCACTTCCACTTATCTGTTTATCATTAATTGATTAATGTCAAGCAAAAAGTTGGTCAGTTCAAAACAGTAATTTAATATTTTGTGAGTAATAAACCTAATTCATTTTCTACAATATGGTATACAGATTTTTGGTGAAATTCATTTATATAGATATCATTAATCATAGCCCTATCTTTTCCAGTATAGAGCCCAGTTTGCCTGTTGCAAATAATATAGAACATCTATCTATATACAGAGGTTTAGCCAACAATTACAGTATTCTGTTTGCACAGTTTATTTGGTTGGCCATCAGCATGTAGTGACTCGTGCCTTGACATACACAGAGTCTGCAGCTAGACAGCTGCTCTTATAATCACTGCATGTCTGTTTGTGCAGCCAGTTAGCTGTACTTCTATTGAACCATGGTGAGATAAATGGTACAGGACAAAATGAATATGTATTATAACAAACGTGTTCATGATTTTCATCAGCAGTCACAGAAGACATGTCATTTGGATACTGAAAATCCAAATATTTTCCACCAGATCCCATTACACAACCAGAAACCTGGTAAATGGTTTGCTCTGAAAGTTAGAAGAATCATAGGCAGCATATTTTTTGTGATGCAGTTGATTCAGAACGACATGTGACCAAAATTCTTGAGCCCTTCTTTCTTTGAAGAATTAACTGTGGAAGAAATGATTTACATGTATGTTCAGCAGGAGAGCACACAAGCACACACTGCAGAAATTCAATGTGATGCTATGAGGTGATTTTGATTAACAGATCAGTCAGTGAGTAGAGGACTTTAGCCATCATGTTCCCCAGATGTCAATGTGTGTGATATATGTTTGTGGGGAAACCTGAAACAGAAAGTTTATAGAAGAAATACTTTGAAAGCCTTCCAGAATGAAATATGGAGTGTTATCCTAGAAAAAAAATGATAGCAGACAATAAAGTGTATAAAAGAATATGTTACAATGGTGTTAGAGGACACCACTTTCAGCAGTTGTTATAGTAGTGTAGGGCAAGTAAAGTGGTTTTATGGATTTCTTTACCATGGACACAGCTTCCAATTCAGTCATTGATTGCAGTGAATATGCTTACTGGAGAGAAGCTAAACACCAGGCAGTGTCTTGCTCTACAAACAGGCAGTTATAAGGTATAAACCAAGGAATGAGGTTGATACTTAACTCTGTGACAGGATTATTGTTAGTATATTTGATGATATACTGGCATTTACTGGAACAGTTTACCACACTACAGTAATGCCAATAAATAAATTTACAAATCATTTTACTGACTGCCTCTGTGGTCTAAGGATCAGAGTTCCTGGCAACAGATCCAGAGGTCTTGGGTTTCATTACCGACGCTGCCAGATTTTCTGAGTAGTGGGTCTGGAACGGGGTCCACCCAGCCTCGTGAGGATAATTGAGGAGCTATTTCAAGGAAATAGTGGCTCCAGTCTAGAAAACAGAGATTAATGGCCGTGGGGATCCATTGCGCTGACCATGACACCCTATATCCACTAAAGTTGCCACTATCTTCACCAACAAGCAATGGTCACTCTGTCAGTGTAGTTTGCATGCGGACTACAGGCCACGGAGTTTATTTGTTTATAAGTAATTTTATTACATTGCTTTTATATGACCCTGAACATATCATGATGTGGCAGTCCAGTTGAACCTTGCAGCTGTTATATGACTGTGATGTCATCATTCTTGTCAAGGACATAAACTTTTTTTGTGATCTTTCTGGATTCTGTTTTAGCCTACTTTCTTATTTTATATAAGAAAACATAGGCTTGTGGTATCATCATATCTGTGTCTCTCCCCCAGTAAGTTTTGTGCTGGCAGATTTAATGAAACTCTGTAATAATGTCATCCCTATAGAGCCAGCCCCACTTCTGTAGTTTTCTACTTCCTGCCATCAATGATGTGGCCTAATGAAGGTCATATTCCAGTATTTGCCTGGAGTGACTAAGGAAAACCACAAGACACCTCAGTTGGGATAGTACCATTTAATGTAGGATTCTGAAATTTTTAAAAATCCTACAAATTCTCAATTAAGAATTTTCTTATAAGTTAAAACAAGATAGGTTATACTAGACAAAATTATGGACAGAGCAGATCACTGAATTCTGCAATTCTTACTTTGTAGCTCTTGCAGACCAAAGGCTAAATGCGAAAACACCGACAAGTATGGTCTTCTGCATTGTAATACCGAGTAGTTCAGAGACAGCCCAAAGTTTTGGAGGAAAATATCACCTCAGTCTTTAAGGATGAAGCAAGAATCCAGCAGAAACAGGCAGTAAGTTGTTTCTCCCAACTACACAGCTTCAGAACCCATAAGATTGTACTGTTCATAGTAATTTCTGAGAGAACCTCAAATGCAACAAGCAAACATTAATATTTATAGACAATTTGTGGTTGATTTGAGAGAAAGATGAAAAGGAAATTGAAAAGAAACTAAAACAGTGGAATATTATTAGAAAGGAACACACACTCAATGCAGACAGCACAGTGACCAAGGAACATAGACACAGACATCCGAATAAACATTAATGACAATTATTAAAAAGGTGGACAAACTCATTTATTTGGGAAGAGAAATAAATTCAGAAGGGAAAATTCAGGAGATGAAAAGAGGAATACAAAATAGTTCTAGATTTTAACACATCATAAGAGGAATATTATGGGACAGAGAACAGAAACAATGCAAAACCTACCTGTAAGGTGCACATCCTAACATATACCACCAAGTCAAAGGTTCTTACAATGATAAAGAAAAGCAAATCCAAGCAATGGATATGACATTTTTGAGAAGTACTGAGGAAAGAACACTAAGGGATAGAATAAAGAATTAAAGTCTTGGTGAAGCAGTTGGAGTTCAAAATTTATGAGAGAAATGTAATGGTTAAGCCATGCAAGAATGGGCAGAACAAGCACACTGAGATGGATATCAGAATTAAATGTTAAAGCAAAGAGAACCATAGGATGACTCAGAACAAGATGGTTTGGCCAGGAATTGGAAGTTATGAAGAAAGAGGAAAGACCTGGCAAGAAACTGAAAAGGAAGGCTTGTGGGAAGAAAGATTTGAGGCTGTTTGTACATTAGCTCATATAAAACAGAAATGATGCTAGAACAAGGAAAGGAGATGTTTGTCACCCTCACCATCTCAACATTTACCTTATGACTGTGGCAGACTGACACATCCATCCACAACACAGCATTCCTCATTTCCTCCAAACTTAATTTTGTTATCATTTTAAACATGTCCCAAACAGAAAGCTCCATATCAGTGTTAACCTTTTGAGTATTGCACTTTATAATTATGATGATGTCAATAAATCACACTGACCTTAGAAGGGGTGATTTTGAAATTAAGTTTGATGTCACATATTGGTCTGTCTTAACCATCAGATTCATTCTGTGGATGTGTCGATGCTGGCGGAGAACTGTCCTTGTCTGAAGGAACTTGGGGCCAAGTTGGAAGGAGGATGGTATGGTGAAGCTGGAGCTATGCTGCCACAACTTGTCATATGCAGAATTCGTGTTGGTGCCACAGAAACGCTGCATGCTCTGCTTGTGCATACTCCACGTCTTGAACACCTCGAGGTAAGCAAAGATCAGTTGCACTAGTTGTGTTAATACAGGATAAATGTATTAAACTATGTCTGTGCACACTATGAAGGCATATATGGGGCATAGAGGTGAAGTTCCACGTATTCCTAATCTTAGAATTGTAGAAATAAGCGGCCAACTGTTGGACAGTATAAGATTTCCTAAAGCCCAGTGAAGTATCAGTATTTACTTCATATAAGCAGTCCCTGTAATTAAGAACTCACTTTTTCATGGCAGGTGGTGCTGGAAGAGGAGAACTATGGAGAAGGGGTGGAAGTGGTAGATGACTTTCTTATATCACAGAGCCTGGCTGAGAATCCTCACCCAGCACATCTCCGTGTGTTTGTGCTGCGCAGTGAGTGCAACCTGACGGCTCTGTCTGTGCAGTTGCTCATCAGTTCATGTCCTTCACTAAGATTCATAGGCGACCTCCATTCCTGGACAGGTATATCTGACAGTGACATAGAACAGCTGGCCCAGGAAATTGTGGATAGAAACATGGACCTCATGCTAAGTTACAGAGGCAATTTGTTGCCCCCCCGCAGGGTTCGGTGCCTTGTGGCCAAGACATAGAACTTCATTCAGCCTTGGACAACTTGCTAAGCCAGTGTGAGCACAGACTGCTTGGAGGAATAGTTCTGATGCTGTGAACAAGTACCAACAATCACAAGATCACTTATATAAATAGGAGTATTTTTCAAATTATGAGTTACAGTGTGGGAGAGTGTGGACTGGATCCATTTGGCTTAGAACAGAGTCTACTGGTGGACTCCGGTGAACACAGGATTGAACCTTCAGGTTGTAGGTGGAGGTATTCCTTTCCTAAAACAACATGAGTGGGGAGGATGACACCTGTCATAGCAAGTCACAGAAGACTGTAATCTACTTACCAAAAGAATGCAGGAAGCTTCCCTCATAGGACTTTCCATTAGACCTGTGCATATGCTGTTCAGGACACCCATCTGCCCAAGTTTTCAGCAGCCTCCCCCACACACACACACACACACACTGCACTACCTACAGCCCTTATTGCTCGACAGATCCACCAGCACTTCCCATTTGTCACTCATACTACATTTCTCCTGTCTCTCCAGCTTCACAAATACAGAGCCATCACTAGTTACTTCTCTCCTTGCTCCTATTGGTTCACTCTAGGCTCCTTTGCAGACCTATAGCTCAAACTGTTGTTGCTTGTTTGACTTACTTTGACCTTGAAGACAGAGGCAGTACGTTCCTTTGAAATGTCAGTGAACTGCTGGAATATATGTATCACATCACATATGATAGCACAGTTCACAATCACTGCTGTGAACACAATACACTGAACCCTACTCAAAACAGAATATCAGAGGATAAAGACAATTTTCTGTTTTACATACATTCCAATTTCATGAAGGCTCTTATGAAACTACATACAAATAAATTAATATACATTATATTCCCATGGTGTATATCGGCTAAAAATTCATAAAACTATGAACTCCCCTTTTTTACTCTACTTTCCTTATTTTGAAAAAAAAATAAAATTAGGCTTATGAGATCACCTTACTGTGTGTGTGTCACCCCAAACATTGCTAGACAAAAGCTCAGTAAAGACATTCCCACATCAATGAATACACATGCAGCAATAGAAGATGTACAGTATTACAGTTAACAGCTTGCTCATGCTCACCTTCAAAAAATTAGCATCCAGTGATTGCAGTAGATAACAGCACACATGCCAAACAGCAGGAACTGTACAGTTCATGCAGATATTCAGTTATCCAGCATTAACAGTCCTGTTTCTTTAATGGCAATGTGGAAGTGAAAATATATGTCATTGCCAATTACAATAGATTACCAGCCATCAATCCTAGAAACTGGTGAGGAACCTGTGAGCATGCTGCACCGTAACAGTCACCGAGCTGCTGTGCACCTTGAACTTTGTAGGGGTGAAAGGAGCTTACAAAAACAGTAAAGACCTGTATAGAGGAATAAATGACCTTAAGAGGGGTTACCAGCCTAGCAGTAACTTCGTGAAGGATGAGAATGGTGATCTGCTTGCAGATTCTCACAACATTTTGAATAGGTGGAGGAACTACTTCTCTCAGTTATTGACTGTACATAGGGTCAGTGATGTTAGGCAGAGAGAAATACACACAGCTGAGCCATTAGTACCTGATCCTAGCCCTTTTGAGATTGCAAGTCCTATTGCAAAATTGAAAAGGTATAAATCACCAGGTAGTAATCAAATTGTGGTAGAACTTATTCAAGCAGGAGGCGAAGTATTATGTTCTAAGATCCATAAGCAAATTCTATTTGGAATAAGGACGAATTGCATGATCAGTGGAAGGAGTCTATCATTGTACCAGTTCACAAGAAGGGTGATAAAACTGAGTGTAGTAATTATCGGGGCATATCACTGCTATCAACTTCATACAAAATTTTATTCAATATTCTTCTCACAAGGTCAAGTCCATACATAGATGAAATTATTGGGAATCACCAGTGTGGGTGTCAACATAACAGATCAACTACCGATCATCTCATTTGCATTCATCAGATAACTGGAGAAAATGGGTGTACAAGAAGACAATACATCAGCTATTAACAGACTTCAAGAGAGCCTATGATTCAGTTAAGAGGGAAGTATTATACAATATTCTGATAGAGTTTGGTATACCCATGAAACTAGTCAGGCTGATCGAAGTGTGTTTAAATGAAACATACTGTAAAGTCCATATAGGTAAACATCTGTCTGATAACTTTCATATCCAGAATGGTTTAAAACAGGAAGGTGCTTTATTACCACTGCTATTTAACTTTGCTTTAGAAAATGTAATTAGGAAGATCCAAGAAAACCAGGTGGAAGTGGAACTGAATGGGACACATCAGCTGTTGGCCTATGCTGCTGCTGATATGAATCTACTGGGTGATAATATAGATACCATAAATAGAAACACATAAACTTTAACTGACGCTAGTAAGGAGATTGGTCTAGAAGTAAACACAGACAAAACTAAGTATATGTTGGTATCTCGCCACCAAAATGCATGGCAATATCAGGACATAAAGACAGGTAACAGATGTTTTGAAAATATGGCAATTCAGATATTTGGGAATGACTATAACAAATCAAAACCTGATTGAGGAGGAAATTAAGAGATTGAACTTGGGTAATGCTTGCTACCATTCAGTCCAGAGCCTTTTGTCTCCTCATCTGCTGTCCAAAAACATAAAAATTAGAATATACAAAACTACAGGGTGGGGCGCAGAAACTTCCTCTTTTTGAAGGCGAATAAAAGAAAAATTATTGCTGATAGACAAAATTTATGTTTAGCTAATGAAAGAACATACTTTAAAATTTTAAATCATGTAGTTCTAAACAAAATATCTTGAATGTGGTGGCCACCGTTCTCTATGCACTGATGCAACCGTTTTCTGAAGTTCCCCTCTGCACATTCCAACATGTGCACCGGAATTTGGGCTACTTCCTGCCGAATAACATTCTTCAGCTGAAGCAGGTTTGTGGGGCGATGTTTAAAAACCTCTTCCTTGAGGTATCCCCAAAAAAAATCACAGGGCATTAGATCAGGTGAGTGTGCTGCCCACGGGATGTCACCTCGAAGCGAGATGAGCCGTCCAGGGAACTTTGCCCTCAAAACTGTCACCGAAGCTCAGGCTCTGTGGGCTGTGGCACCATCCTGTTGGAACCAGACATTTCCTAGATGCATTTCTTCAAGAGCTAGTTCGAAAAAGATCTCAAAAGCGACTGTCAAACTGTCTCCACATTTTCTGGTGTCGTAACAGTCTGTTGCCATCCTGATGATTTTTTCACCACACTCCCGGTTGTCCTAAAGTTCTCTACGCACCAAACAACTGATTTCCGGTCGGAAACCAGACCTCTGGGCTTAATTCTGAAGTGAGTACGGAATGCACGCTGCACTGCCACGTAGGAATGGTTGTTCGAAAAATAGGCTTCGACAGCAAACGCAAGCTGCTCACTCGTCCACCTCATGTTTCCTACTGAAGGGTATTAGACAGAAACTTCCATGACTGCTGCGTTCACCGAGCCTATCCCCACTTTTCTGCGACCTCCCCTCCATTCACAATGCATCTTCACAAAAAGGAAGTTTCTGTGCCTCATCCTGTATAATTTTGCCTGTGGTTCTGTATGGGTATGACAGGAGGAGCTTCATAACTTGTACGCTTCTCCAAGTATAATTAGAATAATCAAATCAAGGGGGTTGAGGTGGGTAGGGCATGTAGCACGAATGGTGAGAGGAGAAATGCACATTGGATACTGGTGGGAAAGCCAAAAGGAAGGAGACCACTGGGAAGACCAAGGTGTAGGTGGGTGGACAATATTAAAATGCATCTTGGAGAGATAGGATGAGATGGTATGGTTTGGATTGATCTGGCTCAGGATAGGGACCACTGGAGGACTCTTGTGAACACAGTAATGAACCTTCGGGTTCCATAAAATGCACAAGTGGCAGCATCTCAAGAAGGGCTCAGCTCCATGAGTGAGTGAGTGAGTGAGTGAGTGAGTGAAAGTTCAGTCATGTGCAAGATGCACCGTGCTCTCCTGTGAGGTACATGTAAAGCTTTGGCGTGCATGTGACTCTGCCGCACATTATCGGGTTTAATGCCTATTCCATACCCCATTCCCCTTAAACAATTAAAATCATGTTTCATTTAACTGACTGAAATTAAAACATTTGGAGAATCCTGTTGTAGAGCTCAGCAGTATCAAAATTATTCTCTCAAGCAATGTTATGCACACTGAACATACCTAAATGCAGAAAACATTGTATCACTTACTTCAATTACCATATTTACTCAAAAAATAAGTTGTGTATTGTCCTGATATTATGTGGATCAAAATATGGCATATATATACCTACACACAAAATGAAGTCATCACAAATCAGTTGGAAGTTATTCATATATACCAAACATATTGTGTGCATAAATCCTAACTACATGTAGTGAAGCCATGACATGGCTCTGATAACAAGATTCCTTTCTCAACTAGCATACCTTAAGAATAGAACTGCAACTGCTTCATGCATTTAACAGAAACATGTTTTTTAGCTGGGAAACTTTTTCAAAGGTGTATCATAAGAACAAAACATTTCATATGAAGTTGCAACTTACATAGTTGATCTCTTCCAACATATCAAACTGACATGCTGCTGAGAGAGAGACTGAGCTGTAAGCAGGGCCATATATGGGAATGGTTTCATATTACCAATTTTCTAAGTGCCCATGATTTGCACAGTGAGAGGCAATGCAATGACTACCCGTATCAAATTCAATATAAACAGACTATGATTACTATCTGTAGATTTCACACAAACCAATTACTTGTGTAATAAAGAATTGAATTTGTTTAAAATCCCATAAGTAGTATCATTCCTCAGATTGTGAGTTCACTGTTCATGTAATTATTGTTGATGGCCACATCTTACAATTAATAATCATTTCAATATGGTGGAACTATATGACTGATGCTTTCACAACCACAGTATACAATTAAAACATTTTGGATGATGAGCTATGTCAATGTGCAGTTGGCGTGCAACATTTCAGAGAATGTCTGCCCCCCAAACAGTGTGCAAATGCAACACCCATCATATAAACCCCAGATGATGGAGATAAGCAGTCTCTCAGATGTTGACACCAACTCCACACTGACATGGCTGACTGCCCAAGAACACTTCTCAAGTTCTTGCTAGCCTTCTGTCATTCTTTGCTATACGGGCCCCATCCCAAGAAACATTGAGTAATAATGACCCTCCCTTTCATTCTCATAAATTAATTTTCTTTTGCATATAATGATATGAAAGTTCTCAAATTTTCACCAGACCACTCAGAGAGTAATTGCCCCATGGAGTGAGGCGTTCAAACAGTTAATCAGGCCATATAAAACAAGTAATATTACTTGTGGCACAAGGAAAATCTCCGATAATGCAGAAGTATGTAATGTCTTACTTGCAGCAAAATCACAATATCTCAACAACAGTAAAAGGAAAGCCCCCTGCCAAAATGAGGATAAAATTTATTCCAGGCACCACTTCAACACACCTCAAGCCCTCACAAAATGTAAACATTACTCAAAAACAAAAACATAACCACAATTTGTTGAAAGAAAATGTTATAAAGGTATATTTGTTTGCAAAGGGCAAACCTCAGACTGGATGGAATGGCAGAATGTATACTGAGTAACATCAGATATCAAACAAATAGTCAAGACCAAATTAATCAGTGCCACTAAAATCGAACACAGTTGACACCAAACTGCAACTTGGGATAGGGTCCAACCATCAATTCTCCACAACAGTGCTGAACAGATGCTTAAGAGGTAATTATAATATAATGGCTACTACAAATCAGTCCACCCTGTGTAAGCCTAACATCTACCCCACAGGAGGTACCTCATTCATCCCCACAACCATTATCCCCTGCCAAGTCTCTGTTAGATACTCTGGAGGGAATCACTGGCCCTCATTGAGTCTTAATTTGTGAATGACATTACATATTCATCATGTCTTCATGTTACTCTGAGGAAATCCACGTCTCCAAAGGAATCCTAGCATCTTCCTCTGCATGGTTAGCAGTTAGTGTAACAATACAAAACCCAAGTACAGCTCTGAATCTCTACACCCAATGCTAAATACAAATAAATTACGTAGTAATGAATACTATGCCTCATTCTTAAATTCTTTCATGGGTCACTTAACAGTGCCTTCAGTACTGAGACTATAGCACTGGACAAAAGGATGACTAATGGACCATGAACTGGAAAGGATTTGGAAGGAAGCAGTGATTGTCTGATTGAGGTACTATCTGAAAATTTGCCTGGAGTGACTGAGGAAAACCATGAAAGTCAGAACAGCCTGGAGCCTGTACTGCAACCTGTATGGTATTCTTACAGTGATTCAGCAAACTTGTGGAAGTAAAAATGTCTTATGAAACAATAATGTTTAGTAGTGCTACTTGCTTCATTCTAGAATGGTCCCAGAAAATTATAAAATGGTCACTTTACACACTCCAAGCTTTCAGATTTAGTCATTTACCTTCTTTTCTTCATATTCCTACCTCTACTTCTCAAACTTGTCGCTACATCCCTTCTTACACTCCTATTAGCATTTCTTCCTGTGTTCCCTCTCGAACTCCCACGGGAAACCCTAACCAGCCTCGAACCTGCATGATTCCTTGGTCTGTTTACACCTTTCCTTGAACCCAACGATATGCCTTTCCTTTTAACCTTGGCTGAACCCACATCTGAACTGTCACTTTCACTTGTCAACTCAACTGAATCCAGCCGCATAGCAGAGCCTCTTCTCTCATCCTCGTGGTCTGCTTCTTCCAAGACATGGAACATGCTGCTTCCTTCGGGTGAAGGGCTTCCATTGCTCTGCTCTTCCTTCAAAAATAAAATGGCCAAACCTTCATCCAGAGACAGTTTCTTGAAAATTTCAAACTCTTCTGCAGCTTTGGACAGAATTTTCTTATCAGCACCTGAAAGACATGAGGAATTCTCAGTAGAACTCATAAATCCCATTTTCCTGTTGCACCCACTTCCACTTGTGCTGTTAATGCCATATTTAGGTACAATAAATTTATGATCCAACAGTAAAATACAATTTGCCTTGTGGGTTTGCATGCTGGACTCACGTGCAGATGGTCATACACTCAAATCCTAATAAAGTCAGAATCTTTTACTGACTTCAATATAAATATGTTAAAAAATTCAGTCAGCAGCTGCAACAGTAAAAGTGTTTTCTTTTCGGGAAGAACTTAATACTTAAGTATATAGAGCTTGCCTATGTTACCATGTCATATATAATCTCTAATTTTCACACCAACATCATGTTCATAACTGTTAACTTAAAAACATTATTTCACTGATAATGGGTAGGTATGAAGAAAGTCGTCTTCTGGGTTTTGGCGCCGTGTATTCTTCGTTTTGGCCGACGTTTCGGAGGAACGTATCGCCTCCATCTTCAGAGCAGGTGAATGGCTTGTGAATGCAGAGAGCAGTAGCTGTAATTACATTCTGCATCTCTGCATTCACTAGCCATTCACCTGCTCTGAAGATGGAGGCGATACGTTCCTCCGAAACGTCGGCCAAAACGAAGAATACACGGCGCCAAAACCCAGAAGACGACTTTCTTCATAGTCATCTCCGTGAAAACCTCAAAACTTACAATGGGTAGGTATGTTTACCATCTACCTCAAATGGTTCCTTAGTTATTGCCATCAAACCAAAACCTAACCACAGATTTCAATCAGACACCATTTTATTGCTTTAAATTGTACAGAAAATTACCTCAACAAAACTTACATATTTCTGAAGATCTGTACCACACATCATCCCAAGATATTCTAAGTGGTGTATTTTGGTTGTGTCAGTCCCACCTCACAAATTTGTGTGTATGCCATTTTGTTACTACTGCTTGTAGGAAATCAAAATGTGTTGAGGTGGACTCCAGTGGCATAATATTCAAACCACATTTTGTGAAAGTCAATCAGCATTCAAACCTGAAAGTCTACTTTTTCCCTTAATAAAGGAAAGGTGTGATAAAAATATTCACTTGCTCTGTCTTACCATATTAACATGATGTTTAACATTTGCATCCAGATTTACAACAAATGTTAATCACACCACTACTAACCTTTGCTCTGGGCTTCAAGAGACACAGGCCTGACTCCACTGGGCTCATAAATTAAGCTGATGGTCACTGGAAATGATCGCTTATTACTTTCCTTTACTGTGAGCATCACGAACATGCAGTCAATGCTGCTGAAGAGATTCAGTTCTTTGGATTGTGCCACCTCCTGTGAAATGAAAAGCTTAGTCAACTGAAGTTCCTAGTTCATGGCCCTGGTAATCTTGTTACAGAACTCAATAAAGAATTACAGGCAACTAAATGCAACAAAGAAAAAAAACAGTCTCATATTGCTGCAACATAAGGGTTAGGGCAGTTCTGTTGGTATAGCAACTATGGCCTATCAGAGTTCAATTCCCAGAAGGGACAAGAGATTTTGTCCTCCCAGCCGCTGGGGGCTATCCAATGGGTACTGGAAGCTGTTTCCCCAGAGGCAGAACTGACAACTCACCTCCATCTAGTGCCAAGGTTAAGAATATATGGAGCTACATGCATTAATCCTCCTTACCGTCAATATTCCCATATGATCGATAATCCAGAACAAATGGCTGAAGCTGAACCATGTTTATTCATGTGTAATTGGTAACTGGATGGAAAATGTGAAACCTGACATGAGGGAAATGTTGGAATAGCCTGCCGTGAATACAGGCAGGAAGTTATATTGTACAGTTCACAGTCAGAATCATGTCCACCTTAACAACCAACTTCATATGGTAACTCTGTGGTAACAGAACCCAAATGTTCAACACCACCACGGGTAAAACCACATGCTCCATTGCGACAACACTCTTGAGCCAGCTCAAACTAGTTCATGTTTTTAAAAGGTATTTTCTTTCAATCCGTTTTGATACTATTAACATAACTGTAACATCACTGAACTTAAACCAACAAGGAGATTACAGCACACAACAGTTCCCAAACACATCTTTACACATGCACCAACCTTTGTGCCTGGCCCCTTACTAGTATGTAACTTTGAAGGGAGTTCTGTGCATGTGTGGGGATATGGGGGAGGGGTTTAGAGCAGAAGAGTAACAAAGTCAATAGAAAGTCCGTCCAGTGTAACAATTTGTAGGTCACTTCTTTATCACTTCTGCCTTACATGTTTCGGTTTAATATAACCATCATCAGAGGCACATAGTACAATCATGAAAACACTGTCGTTGTTTAAGATGCACACAGTTATGTTTGCTGCGTGGACGCTGCTACAGTATGTCGACGTGTAAAAGCACAACACTTGTTAGGATTGTTGAATGCACTAACAATTCTCATATTCCATCCGAAACTTCCCTCAAATTAAAAACGTCAATGTTAAAATATTTAAAAATTTTTAAAACATTCATGTAAAATGTTAAGCTCCTCCTTATTGATTCATCCCGAAGATGGGAGATGTCAGCTTGATGTTGTATGGCTTGTGGTTAGATGTTTCCACTTGCTGTGTGTTGTGAAACAATTCAAAATAGCAGAAGAGTAATTTGCTGACGGCCTTTTCCTGCAGTCATTCTGGTTTCAGACTCAAAAGGGACCCATAACCATATTTCTGTTCATTCCCAGACCACTATGTGTTTTTAAATTGGGGTTCCTCTTTATGAGAGCAGGGGTCTAACTGCTACTGTTGACTACTGCTGACTGTGGGTTTCGAGGCACAGCATCCATGGCTATACATGTGCCTGTATAGAACTCAAACTAGGAAGCTGTTTAACACAGCATAAAAATAGACCTGTGTTAGGCTGCAATATGGTGTATCATTTGGTAAAAGACACAACAAAAAAAGCAAGACATTGTGTTTAAAAAACCTAAAAAAGATGCTGTAGATGGGCCTCAAAGTATTTAGAATATTAAAAATAAAATGGCTCAAACTTGAAGTGAGTTCTGACTTCAGTGAACGTCTGACATCAGAGTGGCGTCTGAAATCAACACACAGCTTCCCTTTGTGCCATATTTAAACTCATGTTTCTGGGAACAGCATAGCACAATTCAGGACACTGTGGGACCTCATAGCATCACACTGCATGTTACTCTGTAATACACTCACCTCACGAAATTGCACATGTCTACACACTGGTCATGCAGTGAGCTCCAGTACTGCAGCATCACCGAATTTGTGATCTAAGGATCTTTAGACATTTCAAACTACAAGTATACTCAACTCTCAATTATCCGGGGGCGGCTTAACTGGGGCTATTTTGAGGCTTATATGTTGTTTAATATTCATTCACTTTTGTTTCACATGGTGAGTTGTAACACTATTTTCACACTAGTGTGAACCGAGTTCTGTATTTTTTGATCCCGTTATGCTAACACAATGTTCTAGGGTAGGGGTGAAAGATTGCAAGGATTTGTGGAAAGTTTCAAGAACAGATATACCGCCCCAGTTAGTCTCTTTGTATCGATCTTCAAGTGTGTTAGCAAAATGTCAGGGTGTAAAAGGAAGCGTGTTGTGTTAAGTGTTCAACAGAAAAAGGAAAATGCCGCAAAAAAGCAAACAACAATAGTACATTTTATTAAGTGTTAAGTGTGAATATTTGTAAAAAGTGTTGGATGTTGTTGAACACTGTGATTGAAATAACTAATTCATACTTCAGTGTAATGTAAGAAAAGTATTAAATATGCCATGAGATGACATAAAAATGAGGTAGAATAAATTTAAATACAGGTAGGCCTATAGTATTATGAAGGTACAGTATTACAGTACTACGTTTAATAAACTTTGTCTTAACCGGGTTTTCGATTAATCGTAATTTCCATCCCCACAATTATCCCAGATAATCAAGAGTTGAGTGTATTTATACCCTGACACTCTTACATGATGCATTTGGTTTCTGTTTGATGCATTTATAACTATGTTGCATTAGAGTGGAACCTCGCTTAATGAGCATAATTTGTTCCAGGATCTTACTCATAATGTGAAACACTCGTTAAGCGAAATAATTTTTCTCATATAAATTTATGTAAAATATGATAATGCGTTCCACGCCGAAAAAATACTCAAAAAATTTTATGTATAACGTTTATTCAAAGAAAATTATATATACATTGTTAAGGAGCGTGAATCATCTTCATCTTTTCTTCTATGCAGAATGAACCAACCTGGAAGGCGAATTTGATTTGCAGAAAACATAAAAAAATCGAAATAATTAGTTTATTATTTATGATACATATCTAATTCTTTTTCACTAGAAAGCTGTCTAGAGAAATTTGTTTTTGCCGACACTTCAAAATTTGGTGAAAATGTGACACAGCATTATCATTAAATAAATTTGTAGCGCGCATAGCCACTGCCTTATTAGGGTGATGCTTCTCAAAGTACGATGCAATAGTTTCCTATGCTTTCAGCATTTCTCTTATTGTGCCAGAAGATTGTTGCTTTGCTGTTACCTCCTCCTCTGACAAACTCTCCTCCACAACTTCTTGCTGTGAAACACAATGCAACTCCATAAGCTCTTTGGTGGTCAGCTCTTGGCTGTGCTCTACCACAAGCTCATCGATATCATTGTTATCCACCTCCAGCTCCATGATCTTGGCCAAAGACACAGTCTTGTTGACTACAGGCTCCACAGGTACTATCTCAAAGCCCTCAAAGTCACATTCGACAACGCTCTCCGGCCAAAGCTTCTTCCAAGCAGAAGTGAGGGTTCTCCTGGTAACCCCTTCCCACGCCTTTCCGATCATCTTGAGAAGGCAACGATGTGGAAGTGATATTTCCAAAACTCTCTGAGAGTGAGATTGGTCCTTTCAGTCACCTCAAAACAACGCTCGAAGAGTGCTTTAGTGTACAGCTTCTTAAACTTAGAAATAACCTGCTGGTCCATAGGCTGGAGTAACGGAGTGGTGTTGGGAGGCAGTAACTGGATCTTGATGAATTTAAATTCTTCAAGGAGGTCATCTTGTAGGTCTGGAGGATGGGCAGGAGCATTGTCCATAACAAGCAAGACATGGAGTGGCAGATTCATCTCAAGCAAATATTTTTTTCATAGAAGGACCAAACACTTCATTGATCCAATCAGTAAAAAGGTCACGTGTCACCCAATCCTTGTTGTTGGACCTCCACATCACATTTAGCCTGCTCTTCTGGACTTTACACTTCTTGAAGGCTGGTGGAGTTTCTGAATGGTAAACAAGCAGCAGTTTAATTTTCAAATCGCCGCTTGCATTGGCACAAAATAGCAGCATGAGACGGTCTTTCATTGGTTTCATTGGTTTTCATTTCATTCGGGCAATGCATTATCCTCTGCTGTTATATCGGTTCGCTTTGTCATCTTCTTCCAGAAGAGACAGGTAACCCTCAGAAGTTCTCTGCTGCCTTTGTGTCGGAGCTTGCTGCTTCACGGTGCCTTACAACACTGTGGATGCCGGTTGTTCTCTTAAACTTCTCGAACCACCCATGGCTTCCCTTAAATGCTTCTTCTTTGGGCATTGATGATCCTGGCGTCTTCTTAACGAGGTCGGAGAGAATCACTTTCGCCTTCTCACAAATGATGTTCGCATTAATAGTGTCACATTGCAATTGCTTTTCGTTTATCCATATGAGGAGCAACCTTTCAACAACGCCAAGAATACGTAACCGTTGTGTAGATATTCTCGTCACTCCCTTTGAAGCATCTGTCTCCTTAATCTTGTCCTTGTTCTTGACGATAGTGCAAATCATTGATGTAGACCGATTGTATGTGCGTGCTAGATCAGCCACGTTCACAACTCGTTCTCGCTTTTCAATGATTTTACATTTCATTTCTACGGTTATTTTTATTCTCTTATGGCTGTCTTTTTGCAACTTTTTCTTTGGGGACATTTTTGCAGAATGCGACGGCCCGGCTGATCGCCATTCCAAAAGACGCATTCCAGAAGTGTTTCCAACAATGGCGGAAGCGCTGGGAGAAGTGTGTGCATTACCAAGGATACTACTTTGAAGGGGATTAGGGTTTTGTACCTCCAAATCAATAAATGTATTTCTGCCGACCAAAGGTTCAATACTTTTTGAACACACCACGTATGTGTGACCCCCAAACCCTAGCCAATCTGTGCTGGTCAGTGAAAAGTGCACTTCTGCATACAGTTACAGGTCCCTGTTATTCTGCATGTAACAGCAGCAACACCTCTACACCTAGAGTAAGCTACAAAACTGTTCCTGACATCAGGAAAATATTCACAAAATGTTCACTGGATGCAGTTACATTTCCCAGAAGCACCTATATTAAATATTACTGACTTGCCAAAGCTATGCCTGGAAACAGCTCTACTACATGACAACTTGGTGACCTCCACAGGGGATCACCACCCACTGTTTGACAAACAATTACTTAATCCATTAGCCAAGTTTGCTGCATACACTGCAGTTGCTTTATTTTAATCTGTGTGTTTGACTAGGCACACTGCCAACATAGAAGAAAAGCAAAACTACTTCCTCAGGACAGACATTCAACATACCATGTGATACTGACAAATGTGGGGAGACCTGTAGGAAGAAACTTGGATTATCAATATCAAAAGTGCAAACTTGTATGTGGGTGTGGGTGTGTGTGTGTGTTTTGGGGGGGGATACGTCAAGAACTGCAAGTGTGAACAAATCTGAATTTGTAGAACTGGAAAGAGATCCTGCACACAAACTTTCACAGGATCTGATAAATGATTTTCATCTCCGTCATGATATTGCACAGTTTCTGGGTATTATATGCTGTAATGACGTTCATGCACTGTTCACTAATTTACATACATCATTTGCTGAATGTAGCGGTTCAGGATTAAAATGAAGAGAAGCACTAAGTTCATTATTTTTGCATTGCCAGAAATTTAACCAAATTTCATCAATCCCAAGGAAGTGTAACTATTGTTAATAACTACAAAATGGCATTACTTTAATGGGGTTCATTTTCCCCAGTATTATATGAAATCAATGTAGAATACCAACAAAGCATACTCATATAACTTTACTCTGACTGTACTCTATGTTGATGGCATTACATTACCTTTGCACGTGTGATCTGACACTTCCTATCATTGTAAGCTTCTACACACAGCTGAACAGACTGTACAAAGTGGATGAATTCCTCTTCATCAGTCAAGGGATAGGTCTTAGCCATCTCTCTTACATTGACTGCATCATGAAGGAAGTAACGTACCACACTCCAGGAACCTGAATGCCATCAAACAAGGAAAAAATATCAAATCACTGATATGTTAGGTAACAAAAAAGGCACAGCAAGGATATTTACCTCCTTGGGTCAGAAATTACTGAATAGCATATCACACGTGGGGCTGATATTTGGGAGGAAGTGGCCAACTGCCTGATGGACACACTAAGAAGAGACCTTAAATTGGGCTGGGATCTAAGGCAGAGAAATCATTAACACTGCTGTCTTCTGAGAGGTGACACAGTGTAGTTTGGTTGTCAGGTACTGAAATTTTGAAGGATCTCCATCTTCAATGTCAGTACTCTATCAACCGACCTATATTCCAGAAGACTGTGATTTTCAGTCACTGCTGTGAGAACCTGAGATCTCACAGAGAAATCCTGAATATAAGTAAGCTGATATACCAGTGAAACAATCCTGTAAGTGACATGTGGTCCAGAGGAGTAACAAATGGATTACACCAAATCAGACAACCCAAACAGTCTGCTTTTACCGGTTCTCACAGTCTCTTCGCTTGCAGAATTCTTATATTTTCTTCTACCCTGAAGATGGAGGCGATACGTTCCTCCGAAACGTCGGTTAACACCACTTATACACGGTGCCAAATCCCAGAAGACTGCTTTCTTCATAGTCACCGCCGTGAAAGCCTCAAATCTTACAACCCAAACTCAGTTTTGAATTATTACACTTTGCACACACAAAAGGAAGGTCAATATACAAATGCTGGCAAAGTTTCAGGGCTTTCTGCAATGTATGTGGTAAGGAATGAAACTTCAATATCACACACACATGTAATTCATTACATGATAATTCCCTAAACCTCAAATATTTATATTTAACAATATACATGCTATTGAAAGGTCCCAGACTCTTATAGTTGTAAGTGCCTCAGTGAAAGAAGATGAGAGGGGAGGCCAAGGTCACACCTCCACAAGCCTACTGTATCAGTCTGTCACATGACAACCCTCTGTAAACAAGTACTGTTCTTACATGAGTGTTTTTTCAACTTCATTTTTTGTTTTGTGTGTGATGGATGACAAATCAAACAATGTGTCAGCATCAAGTCTTCCATGAGGCTCTGTAAATCCGCTACAGAAACCCTTCAATTGTTTCGTGAGGCTTTTGGAGAACATTCTTTAAGCGGGACAGAGGTTTTTGATTGATATTCATGTTTCAGGGCTGGCTGAATGTCATTTGAAGATAACGAGCATTCAGGGCAACCAAGCACCAGCAAAATGGCAGAAAATGTTCAGAATTTTGAGAACTCATCCATGGAGATTGTTGCCACACAATCCATGAGCTTGCAGACACCACTGGGATGTTATGGAATTTGCCAGGAGATCTTAACAGAAAATTTGAACATGCACTGCATTGCTGCGAAGTTTGTTCCACAATTCTTGACAAATGATCAAAAGCAACAGCGCATAAATGCATGTCTTGAGCTTGGCAAGAAGACTAATGAGGACCCAACTTTTATCTCTTGGACCATAATGGAAGATGAAAGTTGGATTCACAGTTGTGATCCAGAAACAAAGCAACAATCATCACAGTGGAAGAGCCCAGTCACCAAAAGCTAAAAATGCACGGCAGGTCCAGAGTTCAACAAAGAGCATGTTCTCTGTTTTTTTTCAATATGAAGGGGATAGTTCATTGTGAATATGTTCCTCCTAACACTACAGTCAACTCTGACTTTTACTGTGACATTTTGAGACGTCAAGAGAGAAAATGTGCGATGAAAAAGACCAGAACTTTGGTGCAACCACAACTGGCTCCTTCATCACAACAACCAGGCCACCCACACCTCCCTGAAAACCACAGAGTTCGTGACTAACAACAACATGGTTATCGTTCCCCATTCCCTGAACTCCCCGGACTTAGTCCTCTCTGATTTAGCTTTGTTTCCCAAATTGAAAATGAAACTGAGATGATATTTTGAAACAGTATCTGATATCCAAAGGGAATTGCAAGTCGTAATCGACAGCATAAAGGAAAATGACTTCCAGAGTGCTTTTGAAGCATGGAAAAGGTGATGGGATAACTGTACTTTCCCAAGGTGACAATATTGAAGGAGATGACAACAAAAACTGAGTAAGTTACGCCAGCATTTCTTTTTTGACCTAGTCCATGAACTTTTCGATAGCACCTCATACAGTAAACCCTCACTAACCTGGTTACAGTTAACCCTGATGTCGAACTGGACCAAAATGTGAAAAATGAAAAACGCTGTTCACAGTTGAGTACATACAGTGGAACCTAGCTTAACGAACATAATTCGTTCCAGAATCTTACTCGTAATGTGAAACACTCGTTAAACGAAACAATTTTTCCCATATAAATTAATGTAAAATACGATAATGCATTCCATGCCAAAAAAACACTAAAAACAATTTATGTTTAACGTTTATCCAAAGAAAATTATATATACATTGTTAAGGAGTGTGACTCATCTTCATCTTTTCTTCTATGTGGAATGAACCAACCTGGAATGCGAATTCAATTTGCAGAAAACAAACAAACAAACAAAAAAAACGAAATAATTAGTTTATTATTTATGACACATATCTAATTCTTTTTTACTAGAAAGCTGTCTAGAGACATTTGTTTTTGCCGATGCTTCAAAATTTGGTGAAAATGCGACACAGCATTATCATTAAATAAATTTGTAGTGCGCATAGCCACTGCCTTATTAGGGTGATGCTTCTCAATGTACGATGAAACAGTTTCCAATGCTTTGAGCATTTCTCTTATTGTGCCAGAAGATGGTTGCTTTGCTGTTACCTCCTCCTCCTCTTCTTCTGACAAACTCTCTTCCACAACTTCTTGCTGTGAAACACAATGCAAGTCCAAATCGCTGATGTAGACCGATTGTATGTGCGGCTAGATCAGCCACGCTCACACCTCGTTCTTGCTTTTCAATGATTTCACGTTTCATTTCTACTGTTATTTTTATTCTCTTATGGCTGTTTTTTGTGGCTTTTTCTTCAGGGACATTTTTGCAAGGATTATTAAACCTTGCACAAAAAAAATCACAAATAATATGTCTGAACACAAGTTTGGAAAAATGTGTGGTCACAAGCAACACTAAGATGCTAGCGAAACGAGTGCTAAACGCAGACTGATGTAGCAAGCACACAATCCGGGACTTCCCCTCTCGTCACTTGTTATGCGAAACGTCGCTCATTAACTGAGTCATTTTTTTACAATTTGTTTTGCTCGTTATATGAATTACTCGTTATGAGAGGTGCTCGTTCCACTGTACTTCAAAAGACATATGGCATTTAGGAAGGCAGGTGAGTCACTTGTCTGTTCAGAAAAAAACTTGACAGTTTCTTCAAATCTGCATAATTACATTCAAAAACAAGTATAACTTCTGAGTCTTCTATCAATGAATAAACGTATTGCCTTTTTATAGTTTATTTTCATCAGGACCACTTCCATCATTAAATTTTCCATTTATGTGTGTTCCAATTTTTTTGTCTTTTAGGGTTACCTTTTGTTTCACTAATCCAGATTATTGCTTAATCTCAATGACCTCCCTCCCAATTGCCAGGGATCAGCGAGGGTTTAATGTACTCCATTTATACATGTATAACTTTGCAAGAATTCTGAGTACAACTGACACTAAAAATTCCATACTCTAAGTCTAGTCAAGCTGTGATGGCAAGTGTGTCTCACTAGGGTGGAGGAGATGGGAAAAGCATACAAAATTCTGGTGAGGAAACCCGTTACAGACGAAGAAGGACGTGCAATGATAATGTGGAGACAGGTTGCAAGAATCAGAAGCAGATGGAACTGGCTCAGATACAAGTCCAATGGTAGGCTTCACTATCAGCAGTACTCTGAACCTCCTAGTTCTGCTGTCAATTTTGCTTATAATTTTACCTCCTGATGTGTATGGGTATGAAACCTGTTCTAACATGGAAGAAGAAACATAGATTCAGGATATGTGATCGGTGTGTGACCTGTACAGATACACAGCACACTACAGAAAAGATGAATGCATACAGAATTCTGAATGGAAAAAAAAAGAAAGAAAAAAAGGGAAGAGACCATTTGAGACAAGTAGGCATAGATGGGACACATAACTGTCAAGTGCTTAATGAGGATCTACACCCATAGCTACACAGTATTGCAGCAATATTGTCTTCTATATGCCAGACGATGGACAGAGTCCAAAATAAGCCTAATAGTTATGTACAATATTTATAGCATTAACAAAAAGACACATACCTCTGATTGCCTGCCTTATACATGTAATCCCGCCAGTGATAAAACACAACACAGAATCTACAGGTTTAAAGCCCTTCAGACCAAGCAAATTGGCTTAACCAGTAATGCTTCTGACTTTATTGATGAGGTGCCCAGTGTGAATCTTGGCCAGGACACCAACTGTCCTGACTGAGGTGTTCATGGTTTTCCTTCGTCCCTCAAGATATGTGACAGGAGGACACCTTAAATTAGGCCATGACCACTTTGATGCACATTTCTTCCAATTCATTGTCATACAATCATTCAACATTATACAGTCCGAGTTACTGAGAGAACTGTTAAATAAACTATAAATATATGAATTAATTAATAAAACCCTTCAAATCATAAGAACCATGCTATTTGGTTCTCTCGCCATGCTGAGACCAATAAAAATCAACAATCTGGTCATTACCTCCAGCCAGCCTCCTGAAATGGACATAACCTGGCTCAAAATAGCGTCCCCTGACTGACGCATTGAACTGCAGAATTATCTCCTTCCCCTCCCTTTTGGCTGTAACCACACCTGCAATTAAAGGAATTACCATTCATTTGTGCAAGACAATAGAATTCATGCACACACAGGTTTTTACAAGGCACGAACTGCAGGATTGCTTGTTACATGGATAATCTAAATGAACAAACAATGAGAGTACCAGCAAAATAAAAAAATGATTTTACTGCAATTTTATATAAGATTTGAGGTTCTCACAGCAGCGGTTATCAAGAGTATTATCTCCTTACGGCAATTTTGACTAAAACAATGAAATGACAGGTCTCTGAATGGAAGAGAATGTGCTCCAACCACTGCTTTTCCTCAACTTCTATAAGGGATACAAGATTTGAGGATTTCTTGGCATTCCAATATTCATATTATGGTCTCCTAAGTTATGCTACTGTGTAGTCTGGTATGGGAGGGGTAACGGCATTTCAGAAGAATGAGGCCTCAGAGGTTACTATAACAGCAATGCTCTGTTGCTGTGCTTGATAGGTCCTCAGTCACAACCATTCCAGGGCACCAGTGATCCTGACTAAGGTTTCCATGGTTTTCCTCAGTCCTATCAGGCAAATGCTGGGGTAATATCCTGACTAAGGTTTCCATGGTTTTCCTCAGTCCTATCAGGCAAATGCTGGGGTAATATCTCAGTTAGGCCAAAACCACTTCCTTCCAAACATTTTCAATTTATTATTCATCAGTCATCCTACTATTCAACACTATACAGTCCAAGATACTGGCAATGTTGTAAAATAAACCAGGAGAAAAGACAGTTGCACAAACTAGAAGGTGACAATATGAACTGTCATAAGGCATATTTCTCCCCTCCACTGTGACTTGCATCCCTAACTATGCACATAGTCACATGTTTAGGGACAGACATCTGTAAAGCTTGGAACAGAAACCCAAGGAAATTTAGAGTAAAATTTTTGTGACAATCTCTAAGAGAACCAAATTTCACATAAATTTGTATAGGAAATACATGTTGTTCACCAGTATATTTAACTGTATCCACACAAAGTGAAACAGAAGGCTTAAGACACAGATAAATCCAATACCAACTGAATTCATATTCATGTAAGCACGACTCATTTCAACAGCATTTGCCAATAGGAATCAGCACACATCATACAGACTTGCGCTGGGATGAAGCAGCAGGACTCAGTGAAAAGCAAGCTGTCACTGCCAATAGTCAGGAAGTGACACAAGTATTCAACTTTGGGAAAAGTATATTAGGCCAAATATGCAATATGGTATTCAGCCATATCTAAAAAATTAAGAAGTCTGTCAAATTCTGATCCTCCCAAACCCAATTATGGCTGCTATGCTTCTTTGACAAACAGCAGCACGTCACTTCAACACTGGGCATATCTTGCCTTACGCACCAGGCATCAGTGACTGAGTAGCCACAGAGGCTTCAGCTTAGCAATCACTTTGAGTACTTCTAGCATGCATTTGCAAGAAATGAAAACATGAGAAATTAAAGACTTCTTCCATCCCCGGGGGCCGAAAGAGATCCAGTTTCTGAAACACGGTGTTCTATTGACTCTAGAATACCAGACAATGGACAAAGTCCAAAAACCCAGTAATTCTGAGTGTTATACACCATTGTCAGAACCCTTTAGAATCTTCATGGCAATGAACTGTTAGCTGCCAATTTCTGGACTAACTGAGCATTTCTAGAAAGGTGCAGCTCGATGCAGTTAGTTACTTTACTGGACAACTGAGCAACAAAAATGTTTCCTGGTCAAAATACCAATTGCTGTCTCACACATGAACGTAACTTTTGATGAGTTTATGATAAAAAAATATATACCTGATAGTCTGTGGAACATCAATTTTTTCAGCAGGAACTTATTCTCCAATTGCAGAAGGTGTTTCTGAGAGCTTTCTGTTCTTGCCAGGTGTTTCTTGCCTGCAGCACACTTGAACTCTACAGGTTGCTGGACAAGATGCTCAAGTTCATCCTTTTGCAAATGCAAAGCTTTCACTTCCTTTTCCAAATCAGCCAGCTTTGTCTTCAGTACATCATCAATATCACTATTATCACTATCATCACCTGACAAACAGAATTATGAAATATAACCTAGAACTTATGGACTGTTTACATTGGGTATCATTTCACACTGTACTAGGAATTCTACATCACTGCATTTCAGATGTTCTACTTTCTGTTACACCAAGAAGGCAGGGGGCAGGAAACAGAACATGTACATTCAGTGGTAGCTAATTCCTGCTATAGTTTCACTAAACACAACTAATCCTATGTAAACAATCCAAAGTGGAGCCAAAAGAGCTCAGTCAGTATAGTGATGAGCAATATGCTGGATGGCCAGACTTCAATTCCTAACAGAGGCAAGCAGAGGTATTTTCTCTTCTCCACAGCATCCAGACCAACTGTGGGGGTCCACCCACCATTCCATCCAATGGGTGCCAGGGGCTCTTCTCTGGGGGTAAAGTCATCAGGGGTATGAAGCTAATCACTTACTTCCATCTAGTGCCAAGTGATGTATAGCAGGAAGTCTTAAACATGTGGAGTTTAATTAGGGAGGGGTCGCATATGACATTTTATTCAGATAGAGCATATTAATAAGTAAAACATTCTTTCGGAAGACTCTAAGTTATTTTCAGGAAAAAAAAACTATGCAAGGGGAACGTGACAAATATTATAAACTCGGACTTTCATCTATGTTATGTATACCCCAATAATAAACTGTTTCAACAGAGGAGCAGAGAAACTACATCACTCTGGCCTTCCAAGTTACTATCTTTGAAAGTAAAGAAAACATCTGCTAAAATCTGAGTAGAGCAAGGTCCAGAGGGCATGATTGTCAAAAACAATAGCAAGTATTCTGAAGACTCTCTGAGCTGTTACAACAAGTGAAACGCGAGGAAAGTCACGTACTGGCTGACATAAATACTGCAGCCAGAACTAGACCGCAGCAGTGGGAAGCCAGCGACTAACCGCTTAAGTTATGGCGTGGCCTTTGAGATAATATTGGTGAATTTGGTGATAGCACTTGCATGGTCACATTCTGTGAAATCATCCAACCATATGTGAGTATTAGATTATTATTAATAAGTGATCCTCGATGAAAGCTCAGTGAAAGGAGGCCTATGTGACAGGGAGATCGAAACTGCACAATGTCTCCATAAACATAAATTTAAACAACCAAGCATTCAAACCACCGACCTGAAGACTGAAATAAAAAACCATTACAAGCTGCCAAGGAGCCATGCTTTACAGGTTATGTGCAATCAACAATTTTTACAATATCAGCATCACCCATAACATTCAAAAGTGTCAAAGAAATGCTGGTCATCATAAAACCATGCTAAGTGACATGGCACAAATGCAGGTTTCTAAAGGATGTAGTAATGTTATACCTAAAGTGATACAGTTAATCAGTCATTTAAACTCTCATAATAAAAAATGGCAGACTTCTGCTTGTTAAGATGTTTCAAGTCATATTGCTTCGGTGTTCTAGCAACGGAAATTGTAAAAAATTCAGTGCTAATGATACACATCCTAGTCTATAAATTCAGCGTTCCGTACGAAATGAGTATATCCAATATTGTCAACTGTAACTTACCACAATAAATGTCAAAGAGATTTTATTTATTTTTCTTTCTAATGGTATTAAAGGCTTATATCTATTTCGTATACAATTAATGTTGCAAACACGGCATCTAGGCCTTCACGTTAAAAACATCGAAGTTTCATACGTATTCCCGCCAGTGGTAATGGTATTTTACGTTAATACTTTTTACCTAACGTCGCAGGAACTCCCATTATCATAAAACTGAGACTGACAAGTCTAATTGATTAGATCGTACTGGAGAGGAACTCAACTACACTGGACTTCCAACAAGCACCTATATGGCTTACTTCAAACTACAAGAATACACACCTTCCGAATTTCTAAGGGAGAAAGCGGACATTTCGATGAAAATCCTTACATCTGTAATACCACAATGTTAAAACTATTAATGGATATATAACACTTCAACGACCACAAACTATTTCACTTTTCGCGCACTTTTCAAATGATTACATTAACGGACAAGCAACACAGGGTACTGATCCTGCAGCTCACAGTAAAAGCATAGATACACAATGCCTTTCTACTGCGCAGAAGGAGAATGCGCATCAGGTATTAGTGGCAGACACGGATAACCTTCACTATTCACCGATGACTAATCAAGCAGAGATTTCGAATTATTAACACATGTTAGCGATGGGAACAGCGCAAATTGAGGAGACGGCAACGCAACTTGATGAGAGACTGAGAAACTGAACTTCCAAGCAACGGAGCGGGAGCATGCCAATCAAGCCAGTGTTCTCACCATGACGACCATGACGTTGCAGCGCGTTTACGTAGTTACGCTGTACATAGTAGGAGCTGTTGTGTAAGGTGTTTCAGTAATTAATTTGTTTCTCAATATGGCGTTGAGGGTTCTCAAGTATAACTTCGGGATGATGAAGGCGTCGACATATGGTGGCAAGGTATTTCTGTCATTGAGAAAGGGGTCCTCATCACGGAACTTCGGGGAACAAATCACAGTAACTGATGATGGTTCAACTATAGTTTGCTGGCACCCTGAGCCATGTTTTCCCTACGACTGTTCTCGACCATTGCCAGAAAAGCAGGAAACTCATTCTACTCTGCAGATCCAGTCTTTGAATGAAGTTCGCTCAGTGTTTAAAGAAAAGAAGCAAGAATTTGTTCGCCAAGAATTGATGTCCCTCACACACACAACAAAACATAGATGGTTTCCACGATCCAGAGACAAATATGCCAAGAAAACCCCCGCAGATAGAGAATATTTATGAAATTTTATAGTAACGGTTTATACCAAGCTGCATTTTCAAGTCCGAGAGAGTAGTGTGTTGTTAGTACTGCAAAGGTGTACCTAAATTGATAGGTGCTGGTAGACACTAGAATGAATCATGTAAATCACTGGTTTTGTTTCTAATGTAAAGCATGTGGAGAACGCAGAGCTATTGGCCGCCCAAGAAGTCAGTTTACTGGTTATTAAAATGTACTTTAAAATACATTAGAAATGTATTTATTACTTACTTAATTTACAAAAATTGTTCAAAACGAGATCCTCCATGTTGAACATGAAACAGTGCTGTGGTACCTTTGTCTGAATTGACTGGCCAGTTTAAATCTAAGCATTCTCATTAATTAAAGAGACTGTTTTTTGGTTAACTGACTTTTGGGCCACTGTATATTTAATGTGGTAAGAATTTCAGCTTACCTGCCAAGAGTCAAGCTAGTTCTTACCATAACTGTACCCTGCTGTGAGTGAAGTTACAGAGCAGCAACTGTTTTCTAGCACGAATTAATTGCTTTTTAGAACATTACTATTAATTCCTTAGTTATTAAAAATAAGTGCTTCTTTATTGTCAATGTTTCACGTTCATGTACTAGCCTGCTGATTGAATTTCTATTCGTTCAGTTATACTGGGCAAGTGAGCTATATTGACACTCTTTAAGCTATGGAAATTTATAAATACGTTTGTCATTGCAGCACACTGCAGATTTGACAAAAGTTAGTGTACTGCAGTCACCAGATCATATGAGCTCTCTTTCAAGTGCAAGAGGAATGCTGGCTGCCATGATGCAGAGTGCTTGTGCTGCTTCAATTCATTTAACAGGACTGAGCAAAGAAGCTTTGAGTCAGTGTTTCTGTTAGGTAGATGCAGAAGAACCGATACAGACAGTGTACAACGCACTATTGAAGGAACACATTTCTTAGATATTTGTAGCTGTTAACAGATTAAGACGAACAGCAAACATGTTTTTAGAAGAAATAAAAAACTTTATAATCCCAAATAGTAGGTTACTCTTTTGGTCAGATATTGTAAGAAACAGGTTAAGTGTTTGGTATTGTCAAGTTAAACAGAAACCATGTAAATCATGGAATAAATGAATCCCTCCGTGGCCTTTAGTCCACAAACAAACTATACCGACCGAGCGACCGCTGCTTGTCAGCGAAGTAGGTGACAACTTTTGAGGATAAAGGGTGTCGCGTGGTTAGTGCAATGGATTCTCATGACCATTAATCTTGGTTTTTTAGAGCGGGGCATAAATAAATACACTGTCATAATTAGGGACACTGAGTTTTATCATTAACTTGTTTACTACAGGGGTAGGAGTGATAATTTCTGAAATCTGTGAAGGCCATCATAAATGGTATATAGCAAGAGCTACTTTAGTTTTGCATAAAGTAATTACAAGAATAATTTTCATTTCATGCATCCAGCCATGTATTTGCCTGATGGTGGCTGTTAATAGCCGAAACATGTAGCAGAGCCAAAACTAGGCACTGACTTTGATATAGTTGTGTTGTGACGGTTTTAATAGAGTAGTTGTAATTACAAGAATATTAGTTATCTCAAAATGAGTGACAAACTCAAACGGTGATAGAACATAGAATGATGCTAATAATTCCACTGCTACAAGGGTGAAATCATCACTGTTTCTCTGGAACTGGAGATCTGTCAGTAAGTGGACCAGTGACCAGTGGAATGACCACCACAGTCCCCTGAATTTACACTCTTAATTTTTACCTGTGAGACCACTGTTCCAGACTTACGAACCACTCTGTACACTATATTGTAACAAATGATTCTGAAGTAAGATGTATGTGAATTACACACACACCCATACGCAACTAAGGAATGTGACAAAAGACGTTCACAGCCTTCAGTACCACCTTTACACACACATTATATACAAACTAGCACTAATAAAATCCATTTTAGATAAATTATATAAAATGTTCCCTGAGTACAGTCTCTACAGCACAGTTTATTATGATCTTACATTATAAGGAATAAATTGGTAGAATAGTAGGTAGGAGAACGGTGAAACAACGTCAAAGTGAAAGTGGCAGTGAGATACGAGATTCTCAGCTTTTACACATGCAGTGTGTGTTCATTTATGACACACACATGCACACAAATTTAAAAAGAGGTATTATGAAAATGATCTCTTGACCACCTTGAACAGACATATGTATTGCTTTAGGCTGTTACAAAAGCAAAATAATATATGCCTGAAAAGGTCTGATCATAAGCAAACAGGAAGAAACACTCGGAATGGAACGGTAAAATAATTCAGTCAGAATATGGAAGATTTGAAGCTTTCACAGCTTAAAAATATGTTAAAATCTTATTGGGCAATCAGTCATCTCAGTGCTGAGTCAAAAACCAACATTTCAGAGATCTCCACCTTCAGGGTTGACGTGGTGAATTACCACAGACCGACAAACCGCTGATATATATGCCAATCTGTGGAATCGCTGACTCATCCTCTTGGCATACGATGCAGCAGGAGGTTGGAGTCAAATTATGTAGTCACCCACATGACGCTAACCTATCACCATGTCATTTAAACTGGTGCCCCTGTTGTCACTTACTGTGCCATCTTTTCATCATCTTCCCTGCATTTGCCTGCTTGGGATTTTCTTCGTCTATGCATGCCAGAATGCCCTAATGACATGGTGATGGGATTCCATTCTTTGCTAAGTTTGAACCCTTGGTCATTAAAGAAGTTACAACACAATCTGAGGTAAATATTTCATTATTTAAATCTCAGAACATATACAAGACATACTAAGAGCATGTTGCAAGAATAAACAAAACGAACTAAATTTACTTAAAGTAAAAGTGTGACATACACAAAGCAATAATCTGCATAAACTCACTTTTAGCCACTCATCAATGCACTCTGCATGAAATTCATGCATGCATGGAAGGACTTTAATCAGCTCATCTCCGAAATCACACATGCACACCACACACGCTGTCTGAGGTTCAGTACTGGAGTCTGCACCAAACCTGGACAAAATATCACATTATCAGACATTACTTAACAACTACTTCAATATCTAAAACTAATTTAAGGTAAAGTTGTCCCAGTACTTAATTAAGCACAACCCCTTACAGACATGGAGAAGTGGATGTATAACCCCACATATTTTTAACTGAATCAATAGATGGAGGTGATCAGGTCACCTTCATGCCCCGGCTACTTTACCCCCAGGGAAAGACTCCCAGCACCAACTGGAAGGAAGGTACTAGGGTTCAGAGCCAGTCTGGGTGCAGTGGCAAAAAGAAAACTCCTATTCTACAGTTGTGGTTCTAGCCCCATCACTATGCAGACTGAGCTACTTAGCTCTCAATTGTAATTAACATATGTATTGTAACGTGTCTGGAGTAGATACATCCATGGTAATGCAATAACAGTGGGCCATTGCGTAGACAATGCCGAAACAATGAACGTGTTCCCTGGGAGATGAACAACAGAAGGCTGTTAAGTAACTGATGAGACGAAACATGTTACCAGTGTATAAAGAGCGTTCCCGAAGAAATGAATTGCCGAACATGCGAGATCTAACCTTGGCGAATGGTGAGCTGTGAAGTTCTTGTTCTCCAATCGTGTCACACAACTGGTACAACCTTGAAATATGTCACTTTCCATCCACTGCGGATCACAGCAGGTGCTATGAGGAATTCCCATCTGTACCCCTCTCCTTGGCTCATCTATTCATACATCCCCAGTAAAATACTGTGCACCAGATGATCACTGTCAGTACTTCCAGAGCACTGCACTCTAGGGCAGTGCCCCTGAATGCATGTGGAAGGGGGCACTTGCCCTTTACATGGCAATTTATTTACTGTAATTTTCCACACTGGGTGAATGTTAATACTAAGTTCCAAGCATAGATGGTTGTACATAATACCTCCTTTCTAAACCCACTATACCAAGTTTCTTATGCTTGGTTTCAACCTCAATGCACCCGCTGATATGCGACTTCCGACAAGCTTGCCAGTATGTGTACCAACATGTACCAACTGAGAAGGGCACTCATACATATTTCTAAAGTGAATGGTAGATCATGAGAAGTTAAAAAAGTTCTGTCCAGTGTGACTAGTGAAGATTTTTCTTATTTCAATCCACAGTCTTTACAGACCATCCTCAAAGGGAAAATCAATACAATTGGAATCCACTATTACAATATGTGTTTGAATGCCAAGATACAGGCAATCATTATATAAGATCCAGATGTAGTCCTCAGGTTCTCATGGCTTGAGCTTAATCTGTGGCTTTGGCTATCAGGATTAGGCCATGTTGAATGTTGCGGGCTTGTTGAAATGCTGGAAAACATTCTAACGGTCCTGAAATTAGAAGCCACGCATATAAGAGCGAAGATAAAACTGCTAATTTCCTACATATCAATGCATTACAATCAATAAAAACATAACCAAAGAATTTCATGATAAATGTAGATGGCATGATCACACACACACATAAAAGCTGCAGTTCTTTCAAGGCAAACTACAAGACACTTTAACACTGCTCATCATCTCAGTCTGTTGTTATTTTGGTTTTGCCACTAATACAAATACACTGTGAGATGACAAAACTTGATGATAATGAGATGTCAGCGATAATGTACATTAATGTAAGTTTCGGATTTTCATGGTAGTGACTGCCTTCTGGGCTGAAACACTGTGCTGTCTTGTAGGCTGATACTATCATTTAAGATAAACATAGCTCCTTTGTCTTCAGTGTTGAAGTGTATAAGGTGTGGAATTGGTTCATCTTATATAGGCAGCCTGCAAGGAGGGTGGTCACCCAGACCCATGAGAGGGGGGTGAGGAAGTGGAATCTGATATGGGCAAATGGGAAGAATAAGTCTGAACAGGGTTCACTTCGTTACCTTATCTTGTGGGCCTGCGTGAACATCTTCATTGCAATGTGCCTATGCACCTCACCCTGCACACACTGCTACACTGAAGGAGGCAACTTATTCCTCTAAAACATCAATATCCACCCACATCAGTAATCAATGCCACAAGCCACAAGAATGCACATGATACAAACAGACCCAGCATGCTTTCAGTTTACAGTGTAATGACACTGCAACAGTTCATTCACCAGGATTAGCATATTGATTATAGACACACAACATGAAAAAATTTAGGGTAAAATGGAATGAAAGACTGTGATTTCATTATGTAATAATATATATAATATATATGTATATGTAATGTACTGCACATTACACATGATATCCACAGAACTATGTTCGCTTATAAGTGCTACATGATAAGCTACATTTATAATATAAGAAGTACTGACATCTATATAATGAATGCATGTGTTTCTACAATGCATCATTTAAAAAAATAGCATTTTGTAAAACATTTCAGTTGTGTAAGAAAGGTATTCTAGATAGTAATGAACTGCACAGAACGACACTGATGTTCCACATTTACTGAAAACAACTCTTTGCTCACCAACATGTCCATCTGTTGTCCCACTGAGAGAAATTTACGGTAACTAGAAGCAAACTGATGCAGAAACACACTGAATTTGGTATAGGCCTCAAGTTTCACAGTACATAATTTGTAATTCACAAACTTAAATTATAAATACTTTAATAACAATTATATATTGAATGAATAAAACATCAATACTAATTTTATGATCAATCATAACATACATTTTAACCAAATTAAAAGCTATTATCACAATGCATATTCATAATTTTATTAATTAATCAACTGCTCAGTTATTTAAAAATCATTTTTATAATGACAAATTTATAATTCTTGTGGCCAATACAACCATATAAATGTTATGTAATATGATATGGAAGTTACATGTTTTAGAAACAAATGTTTAGGTGATACATAATTTTTGTTATCAGTATTGAAAGTACACAAGTTTTAGAGATGGAATATATTTGTGGCCAATTTTTAATGTTTTAAATACTGATATCACCAGTATGTTTTAACTGGAACTATACCAGCTGTTCCATCTTCTATCAGAAATACTTAAAATAGTTGTTTATACACAGGGAAGTAGTTGACACTTCATGCTCTATACATTATACCTGAGAAAAGTAGATTTTATATGCAAAAAGAAAATCTCAAAAGAGATGGCATTTTAAAACAATCGAA